TCTCTCTGTCTCTCTCTCTGTCTCTGAAGGCTACCTAGGAACACACCTGGGTGGTATGAGCCGGGAAGTACAGTGGGCTATGGTAGGAGTGGGGTGAATGGGGTGTCTGTGTCCCCTTCTAGCAGATAGGATGGAGCACCTACCCCAACTTGCAAACAGATGGGCTCAGAGCTTCCATCCTTATGGTAGAAGCCCCAAAATTGCATTCTAAGTCACTTGGTTTTTAAAAATTTAGACCTAGTTACATTTTTTTTAAAAAGCACTGTATGGGCCAACACCCTGCAGACAAGCTTGTGACACCTGCCGTTCAGTCACCTGTTCCCTGTATGTCCCATAGGTTTCCAGGCCATTTGGGGCCCCTCCTAGCGTTAGAGAAGGTTTTCTTACACTAGCCCAAATCTGCTGCCCTCATCTTGTTCTCTGTGGAGCTGGCGCTCACGCTGCACCATTGAATTCCATGTCAGAGGAGCCTTGGCTCCCAGGGACCTCCTGAAGTCCCAGCTGGGGTCTGCACCCCCTTTTGGCACACACACCCCGTGCCAGGGCCCAGGCTGGTGGCACTTTGAGTAAAATGCCTGATCTCAGGTTACCCTCACACCAGCTTTGTGACGATGCTGCCACTGGTGATGTTTTTGCAGGCATGGGAGCTGACATTTGGCGACCTGACATTCCCTTAGCTAGTAAATGGCAGAGCCATCGGGGACCTTTCTGGAGGAGTCTTTTTAAAGAGTCCTTGGGCTAACCAGGATTCTGATTGGTCAGGGAAACACCAATCTTCTCTCTGGGGGTGCAGACAGAAGGTTTTGGGGCACTGGAAAAAACAGCTTTGGAGTCGGACACACCTGTACTCCAGTCTGGCTGTACTGTTTAGACCTGTGACCTAACACCACGCCTTGATTTCCTCGTCTGTAACGTAGCGGGTGATGACACTTATCTAACCCATAGGCATCTTGTAAGGAGTAAGTGAAACAATGGGGATGAGTATAGACTTAGGTTGGTATTAAGTGGGGTTGTGGTGATATTACTGCTTAAGTCTTGCCTGGCCAATTACTCCTACCTTTTCCATAACCTTCAGGTAAGATTCATACTGTATGTACGATACGGAGACAGCTGGTGAGTCGTGCCTCTACAGCCATGGCTGAGCCACGGCTGATAACCCCGGTGCAGAGCTCGCATAGACGTGGGCCTGCGACTTCCCTTCAGCCTTTGAGCTCTTCCACCGTCTGGCCATCCACCCCAGGGCCTAGGTGGCTAGCAGAGTAGCTGGGCCCCAGGGGCAGCTCGCGTTCCACGTACCTGTCTGCTAAGATGAAATACGGGCGCAACTTGTCCGGCAGTCACTTTAGCCTAATTAGCTGTCTTGCACTTGATCAACAGGCGCAATCCATTCGTTGGAGGTGGAGTGAAAGGGTCAGTGCAGGGCTGCACCTGGCTGGTCCCCCCTCTCCTGTGGTGGTCACCGTGTGTGTGATCTTAGCCCTCTCTTTACGTGTTTCCAGTTCATTTTGTCCCCATTCCCTAGAGGACTGAGGTCTAGGATTTTATCACTGAAATGTTTTGGTCTTTGTAGCCTAAAATTAGGTGTGAAATTTGATATCTGAAAATCTAAAAGGGAAGCCCTTGGGGACTATTGTTTTTTTACAAAGCTGATACAGTCTTGAGCTATAAGTGATGGAAGCAGGGGAGCTAGCTCCTAGAAAACCTGAGTTTGCTCTGCTGGGCATGGTTCAGGGACAGGTGAGGGAACCGCGGAGACAGGCGCTGGCGAGGGCTCCAGAGAAGTCAGCAGGTGAACAGCTGAAGCGGCGTGGCAAGTGCCGGAAGGTAGATTCTGTGCTACAGGGGGACCAGATCTGGGGGGGGTTCCAGACAGGACCCCAGGGTCCTCCTTGATTCTCCCCTTTCCTTCACCTCCCAAACCTAAGTTCTGACCATGTTACCTCCTAAATCGCCCTTAATTCATAGACTTCTCGCCATCCCTGTGGCCCCCTCTCCATGCCAGCCGCCTCCATATTTCTCAGCGTCTCCGCAGTAGTGGCCTCACTAATCCCCTGCAGTCATCCTTGCTCCCTTCCAGGCTGTTTTCCACGCTACTCCCCGAGCAATCACTTCGTTTCTCTACTTAAACCCTTCAGAGACTCTCCACGTTTCTTGGGATCAGGACCGTTAGCGTGGCCTGCTAGGCCCTGCGTGGTCCGGAGCCCTGACCTCCGGCTCTCTTGGCGCTGTTCTTGCCTTGCTCCCGTGCTTTGGCCACACTGCCCCCCTTCCCATGCCTAGAACGGGCCGGCTGCTTTGTCTCAGGGCCTTTGTACATGCTGGGCCCTCTGAATGAATGCTCCTGTTTGTCTGTTTTACCCACCCTTCCTCGAGTCCTTGACCTGGCCCGCTACTCATGTTACACGTGATCATATGATGGGTCATCCATTATTGTCACTAATTCCAAAATGAGCATTCTCCAACACCAAACTGTTTTGCAGCTTCTCTTCTCCCTGACTAATGACCCTGCTTGGTACATCGTGAAACACAGAGACAGTTGCACTCAAACTATTTCAATTCTCCCACCAGTGCCGCCAGCTTATTTTCCTGTCTACCCACAAATGCTGACTTTCCTAGTTTGGAATGGAAGAAATAAATATCCCTGCTCCTCCCCAAGAACAACCCTCCCCTTGGGATTTAGTTCCTGTCCTCTCTGGGTGCCCTCTGTTTTCAGCATATTAGTTTTTTCCTGTCACCGAATCATTTCCAATAGCATAAGGCATGCATGAATATTAACCATTTGGAAAAAGTTGCCCCTGCCCCTTATCACTCAAGCTACTGCCCCATTTCTTGATTCCCCTTAAAGTCAGGGGAAAACTGTTCATAATCATTGTATCCACTTTCTTCCCTTCTATTCTCTCTTTATCCCATTGCTAGTGCTTTTATTCACTCCACTTATCAAGGTCAGTGACAGTCTCCAAGTTGTGAAATCCAGTGGCCAGTGGCAGCCTCTCAGCCGCAGCCGGCCCCTCTCTCCGGCCTTCTGTTCAGTGCGCTTCCTGGTTTCTTCTGCCTCCCTGGCCTCCTTCTCAGCCTCCTGTGCCGCCTCCTCATCTTTTGCTGGCTGTTGAATGTGGAGTGTCTCAGAGCTGAGTTCTCAGCGCCTTCCTCCCTCCGTGTCTTCCCTCTCCCATGGCTTCAGAGCATGCTGTGGGACTTCCAGATGTCTCCCCACAGCCCAGACCCTCTCCAGATCCTCCGGCCAGCTGTCGACTTGACCTCTCTCCCCCTGGATGTCTAATAGACACGTGACCTTGAATCTGTCCAAACCCAACTCCCTGATCTCATCTCCTTCTCTCCTCTGGCCGGTCAGTAACAGCACTGCTATCTAACTGGTGTAGCCGAAAGGAGTTTCCACAGCCCCCATACCCCTCAGCAAGCCCCCTGGATCCCACCTCCAATGTGTGTACCTAGTGTAACCACTTCCCGTCTCTTCCGCCACCCTCTTAGTCCACGTCTTGCCTGGCCTCCCGCAGCACAGCCTCCTGGACAGTCCATTCTCCACAGAGCAGCCAGCGTGAGCTTTTTACAGCGTAGATCAGCTCATGTCTCTTCCGTGCCTGAAACCCGCCAGGGGATTTCCGTTGCCCTTACAGTAGGGTCAGAGCTGTGACCTGGCCGCTGCCTGTTTTTCTCTTTATCACCTGCCCTCGTGCTCGCTGTGCTCCAGCCACACTGACCTCCTTTCTGTTCCTGAAACACCCAAGCTCAGGGCCTTTCCACCTGCAGCGCTCTTCTCCTAGATGTGTATATGCCCCATGGGGTCTCAGCTCGATATCAGCACTGTCGCGAGGCCCTTCCTGACCCCTCTGCCTGGCAGAGACCCTGCTTGTGCACCTCGCCTCAGAGCTTCCCTTCTCGAATCACTGTACTTGACATTGCCGGGCATGTTGTTACTTAGTTATCGGTGCACACGTGAACGTCTGTCTCCTTAAGGAAACGTGCGCTCCATGATTCTTTTTCCCTGTGCATTTCCACTGCCTTGCGTGACCAGTGAGAGGTGCTCAATGAATACGTGAATGAATGTGCAGGCAATTAAAAGCTTCCCATCTAGTAGAAGGTGAGTTGAGGGAGCTGGAAAGAGCGCTGTGCTTCTTTGGAGTCAGGAAGGCCTGGGTTCCAGTCTTTGCTCTTTACTGGGGGATCTTGAATATTTACAGTCCCGGTTCTTCACATGTAAAATGGGGCTAGTAGCCGTCCCCATCTCACAGCCTTACCATGAGGACTAAATGTACTTAAAGGATCTGACATACCGTGAGTGCTTCATAAACGTCAGTTCCTTTCCCCTCGTACCTTCTGTGTGACATAGATACTCAGGAAGGGTCTATAAACAGTGTTTGGGCCTCTGACAAGACTCTTGGACTGAACCATTAAAACGGTCCTGATGATGGCGACAGCTTAATGAATCTGCTGTTGAGATTTCTAGCAAAGGAACGCTGGAAATGTTTTATTTAACAGCACTACCACTTTAGTATATTATAATGGCCTCTCTCACCACCTTTTACTACCCATTTGTAAAGTCTTTTTCCTGGGTTTTATTATGTGTTGTTTGGTAGTGAGTAATGGTTCTCCCTTGGCCAGCTGAATAGCAATTGTCATTATTTTTAATCTGTATTAAGGGAAGGAGAGGAAAGGAGAATTTAGTTTAACGTGTTTGAAATACCAGGAATATTTTTAAAGCCTGGGTTTACTGAATTTTAAGATGGTTTGTGTAGTCTAGATGGTTCCATATTAGAAGTGAAAAATGTACCATACATTTTAATTTTGTTTTTTATGCTTTTATTTTTTTACTCTATTTTAGTGTACTGTAGCTGTTTCATTTGCATTGAATTGACTGTGCCCCAGAGCTAGATGATTGGCACCCAGATAGGAGCAAGGCCTCAGCCCTGCCCCAGAGAGGGCTCAAGGGGGGAGATGAGTCCCGGGTTCATGTCACTTCAAGTGGTAGCAAAGATACAGAGGGCGGAAGGTCCGGGTTTGTTAAGGGCGTTGGTAGTCGTGGTCTGACTGTCCCACAAGGTTTTTGGAAATAAGGCAGGCAGGAGAAACTGCAGAGAGAACAAAAAAGATCTCACGCTGATGAGGGCCTGTTCTGTCCCCTTCTCTGTGCTGACACCCCTACCCCACCCGGACCCACATCTTCTTATTCCCGCAACATAGGAAGAGCTTCAGCTCGGTCTCTGTCCTTGCCTGCCCTCCACTTCCTTTTTTCATAATTTTCTGTCTATTTTATAACTTTCTCTTTTTTTAATGAATTTCCTTTTCCCTCTGTCCTTGCCCCCCCTCTATTCCTTTTTTCATAATTTTCTGTCTATTTTATAACTTTCTCTTTTTTCAATGAATTTCCTTTTCTCTTATATTTTTAGGTGATTGAAACATACTTTTAAATCTTCTTCGTATTGCAATATTATTTTTATTTTCTTGAGTGTCAGCTCTCATGTGACAGACTGTCGTACGTAACAGTGGATGTGGTCGCAGGTTTGGTTTGCCTTGTTAACAACCCTGCCTACTCCCCCGCCTACTCCCCCGCCTGTCCTCCCCCCAGCAGGTGGTTTTGAAGTTGCCTCAGCTTGCCTTCCTAGGTCTTCGTTTAGGGCTCAGGAAATTTGACTGGTTCTTCTACCGTGGGAATTCAATTTCTGGCCCCACTGCTTTCTGCAAATGTGCCCCTTCTCATGACTTTGGGTCTCTCTTGTGCCTGAGACCTTTGGATAAATTTTATCTTGGGAATCCTGTAGTACACCTCAAAACATTTTGTTGTTAAATATTTTTGCTGTCCTTTACATGTATTTAAAACAGAGTGGGAGCAGATCCTGTGTGTACTCGCACCACCCTCTTCACAGGAAATCTCTCCATTCACCCTTCACACCACAGCCAGAGTCACCTGTCCAGAGCACACATGTGACCCTGCTGCTCCCTCACACAGAGCCTCGCAGTGGCTGCTTTCAACATGGCTGGCTTCTCCCCTGCCTCACTTTCCAGCATCTCCTCTTTATTCTCCAGCATCTTGACTCTGTTCTTACTGTTTTCCGTGCTTAGAACGTTCCATTTTCCTCTCTCCCGCCAGCCTCTTATCGACTCTAGAATCCTGTTCTGACATTCTTCCTGCCACCCCAGTCTGGACCCCCCGGATGTTGCTCTGCAGCTCTCCCAACAGCTCTGCCTGTGTTTCTCTTTTTACTCTGTGGAGGAGTGACTCGTGTACATACCTGCCTCCAGCAGCAGCCTAAGTCCTTGCAGGTAGTTTTGCACCCCAGTGCCCATTCCACCGCCTGGCACAAGAAACACCCTCACGAGGGATTCTTCTCGAAGTACTCCGCAGTCTTCTACATGCTTGCTTGGTTGAGTCCCCAGGAAAGCAGAACCTGAGATGAGGCCTTGGGTGCAGTGGTTTATTTGGGATGTTGGTTCCAGGGTGCAGGAAGGAGGGACCAGGGAGAGGAAGATAGAAATGGAGGCAAAGCCAGTATCTGTACATTATTGATCTAGCTAGTGCTGTGGGCAGCTGGGGCTCAATCCTACTGGGCGCCCTCTGACGGACCGCACAGCTGTGCCTCAGTGTTGTCTGTCCAAAGGACGGGAGACTGGAACACTTAACCAGCGGCTCTCTCCCCCAACTTGTGGGTTCCCCCCCCCCCCCCGCAGGTATAAACCGGCCCATACTTCCCTACCGCCCTGCTGGCTGGCTCGGAGAGCTCTGGGAAAAGTCCCGAGGCCGCAGAGAGATGCAGGGCGTGCTGGAGCGGGGGTTGTCTGTGTCTGCGGGAGCCGTCCACACAGCTGTAGCTGCGACCCAGTGGAGGCCTAGGGCGTGTGGCAAGGGGCGTGCTAAGCATCTGCTACCCATGCACTGTGTCGGTTAATCCTCAGCTGTCCCGTGGAGGAAGCCTTTCCTTACTTTCAAAGAATTGCAGTTAGAATTTGAAGCCCTTTTGTCTGATTTCAAAGCCACTGCTCCTTCTGTTAAGAGCAGTTTACGGTACCCCTTCATTCAGTACCTACTTACTGAGCACCAGCTGTGCACCATGATTGACCAGGTCACGGAGGGATCCTCTAGGTCGGCTGCCATACTTGCCTCTGGATGTAGGAAGAGGCGGGGGCGGGTGGACCTTGCAATTGTCATGAATACTCTATGACCCTGTTTGCTCCTTCCTAGGCCCAGCCTGCACCCATAAGCCATGTGAGCCACGTGGCCCCCTTACTTGCTGTGTACTTGTGTCACATCAGTTCTCCTCTTCTTATGCGTGAAATAGACATGGTGGTACCTACCTTGTGTGGGTGTCATGAGGTGACATGAGATAAAATACGTGGTGTGGGTCCTGGCACGTGGCACGTGCTCACTGTGTTTAGTTTACATAGAATCTGGGCCAGTCAGTGGGGGAAACTTAGGAAACTGGGCAAGGGACCAGGCCATGGCAGAAAGCTCAGCTCTCCCACTTCCTTCCCTTGTGGAAAAACAGGCCAGACCTCCTGAAAGGGCTGTGTAAACTGCTTTTGGAACCAGTATGCTTGACAGAGGAGGAAGTTTCCGGAGAACACCTTGATGGTAAACCTGAGAAGGCACTTAAGCAGATGGCTGTTCAGCTAAGAGGTGAACTCAGACATTGCATCCAAGCCAACTCATTTTCCAAGCCACATGATGAACTGAAGTCACCTTGGGGAGCCCAGCCAGTAAAGGCAGCAGGACCGTCCAAGCCGGAGCTGAAGGATGCCTCGGTGCAGACCATGGCCACGGAGGGCGACACGCTTGGATTCCAACACGAAGGCAAGAGAGAGGCCTGGGAGCAGAAGCTGACAGCTGCCACCCTCGGCACCGAGCAGCAGCCGGAGAACTTGAGCTGGATGCCAGGGCGGCCGGCCACTCCCCCTCCCCTCCCCAGCGGGACTGACAAAGTGAGTGTTTCCAGCTATGATTTATTTGCGTCTTTCATACAAACAAAAACCTTAAAATCACCCCTGTTCCCACTACTCTTTTTGATTTATATAAAATCGGATCAGGTGTCTCCCTCTGCCTGCACTTATCCTGGCCTCTACCTAGAGGCAGTGTCCGCCCTAACCTTCCCCAGTGTTACTGACACTTTTTCCTTCCCTCTCTCCGACCCATTCCAGCCCTATCTCATTTATCTGTCATGACATTTATGTGCTTTCCTTATACAAATAGAGTCATGTTTGTACATCTGTCTGTAGCTTTCTCTTTCACGTCATGCACAGGACCATCTTTCCCCATAATGACTGTGTGTGATTTCGTTGTGTGGCATGTGCCTGAATTTATGGAATTTTCACCTATTGATGGACATTTACTTTTGCGGGCTGCAATAAAATTGTAATGACCTGACTTTAGGGGTAGGGACGAGAAGCTAGGTTTTAGTCTGTGCAGACTTTGTGTCTGACAATTAACTCTTCTGTGGGCTTTGTCTACATTTTCTTATCCTTGGAATACCCGTCAGAGATGAGGAAGCCAGACCCTGGGCGCCTAAGGTCACCCGCGGTGAAGGGGCTGAGCTGGGACCCTCACTGTGCCCGACTGCACAGCCATGCCCTTTCCCTGGTCAGACCACCCTCCAGCCTGTGCTGGCCTGAAGGGGTAGTGTCCAGTTTTGTTGAGCGAATGTCTGTGTTTTGCTTCTGTCAAGACACTGTCTCAATAAGCTTCTCCTCAGATACCATCGAATATGCCAGATTATTATAATAAAAGCCTGACTCTCTTGTCAATGTTGGGTTGAACCTTTCGCTAAAATCCTCCTGGGAGGAGGGGTTGGGCTTGGGGTTGAGGGTCCCCAGAGCAGGGAGATGTGAGTGTTCTGGTAGAGAAGGAAATAGGTCGTGTTTCTAATACAGCTCCAGTGATGGCTGTTGGTATTCTTGTTTGTGATGTGTGTTTTATATCTGAGAAATCAGCTGTACACATTGCTTTATGGCATCAGAATGGAGAATTAAGTTTATTTTCTGACCACTAAATTACTGCTTTTGTACATACCAAAGAGAGTTAGATATATCATTAGCAAAATTGCTTTTGATTGTTTTAAATTATGCACCAAAACTGTAATTTCTAGAAAAGGGTTTTCTAAAGATATCAGAGACAAAAAAAAAAAAAAAAAAAAGACACTGCCATTATATTAACAGTACTCGAGATGCAAATTTGTGCAATTTGGCTAGAATAGAAATGCTCTTACCCCCCCTGCTCCTTTAGTTTGTACCTATATATTAGGGAACTAGAGTCCCCCACCCCCCATCTGTGCAGGAGATATTCTGTATTCAGGAAAATTGAATAATTGAATGAACTTAAGTTTTCCAAATATATTGAAAAAGAAAATTTTTTTTTTTAAGTTTGGAATTATCCTTTTTGCTTAGGTCTTAAAAAAGAAGGCAACTGTGTTTATTTTTTAGCATCTTCTCTGTGTGCCAGGATTGTGCTAGATACCTATATCATCACATTTAATCTTCTCAACAAGCGTAGGAGTTAGGCAGGTATTACCTACATTTTATATATGAAAAAAATACAGGCTCTGAAAGGCTCAGAAAATTGTCCAGAGGGACTCAGCTGTTAAGAGGCGTAACAGGGAGGTAAGCTAAAGTCCTGTTTTAGAAGTGGACAGGGATATTATAAAGCTCCCTTTCTCAGGAAGGGAGGGGCCTTCTTATCACCCTTGTGGCCTCCAGTCTATGCAAAGTGGAAGAAAATGTAATGATTTTCTTTGTGGTCTTTGATTAATCAGTCAGTCATTAATCCTAAGGCTTAAGCCAGAACGCTGCTGTCCTGTGAAGAAGAATATCATTGCAGCGCAAGAGTGAAATGAGGAGACTGGGTAGACTTCCGGTTGTTTAGCTTTAGAGGCAAGAGGACGGACTTGACAGATATAGCTGTGACTGCTTTGAGTCCTGGGGTAAGTCCCTGACCTTCCCCAGTGGCCCTGGTGGGATCAGTGTAACCTGGAACCTGAGGCCGGCACAGTGGTTAAGGTGGGGTCATGTGCGCCAAGCCCCTTGCATGTGGTAGGAGCTCAGCGTGTGTGCATTCCCGGCCTCCTCCCATTCCCAAATGAGGAGTTCCGTTACGACATCTTTAATAAGGTTGTAGGTGGGACTCTGTTCCGTGTCCATAAGGTAGCATTTTGGGTGGTGTTATTTTAGAACCAGCGTCAGGGTGACTGACGGCAGTCTTCCAGCCTGAAATTGGCTTTGGCATTTGTGCACTTGCAGACATCTCTCTGCTGCCATCTGACACACAGATTTGGATCCAGGAATAAAGATCGGTGGAGACTGAGGACCAAGTGAATGACTGTTATTTTCCAGTCTTCTTTGACGAGGTGTCCACCTCCTCCCAACTGGTCCCCTTCACCACTGCAATCTGTTCTTGTCCTTGAACCTGTTCTGTCCTCTTCCCTGGAATTTCAAGGCAGGAAAGTGCCTCACTTTTCTTAACGAGCAGTGGAGTCTGAAGAGCTAGTTTGAGGTTCAGCTGTCTAACCTTGTATGACGTTTATGGGTTGTTTGACATCTCAGTTCTTTGTCTGGAAAATGGACGTGATAACTTCTATTATCCTGTGAGCTCTGGGAATGCACAGTTTACCTGAGGATTATGGGAGAATGTGCTTGAAAGCATTTTACATCCTAGAACGTACAAGAAGGGACTTTTCTTTCCTTCTTCGGAGACCTTGTTGATTTCCTCATTTCCAGGGTCCCAGATATTTCCTATTTTCCTCTCAGGTTCCTTCTCCTTCACTTAAAAAAATTTTTTTTTAAATAAAAACTTTATTTAGATGTTTATTAATTCACATATCATACAGTTCATCCATTGAAAGTATACAGTGCAGTGGGCTTTTAAAAATATATTCATAGAATTGAGCAACCATTACTGTAATCAATTTTAGAGCATGTTCATTATCTCCAAAGAAACCGTGAACCCATCTGCGCTCACTTCCCATTCCCCCCACCTGCCCACCCCAGCACAGGTAACCGCTGATCTACTTTCTGTCTTTATATATTTGCCTTTTCTGGATATTTCATGTAAATGGAATCATAGAACTATCTTGTTCCATTCAGTGTAATTTTTTCTAGGTTCATTCATGCTGTAGTCTGTACGAGTACTTCATTTATTTTTACTGCCAAATGATAGTCCATTGTATGAATATAGTACATTTGATTTATCCATTCATTAGTTGATAGACATTTGGGCTCTTTCCACTTTTGGGCTATTATGAATAATGTTGCTATGAACTCTCATGGACAAGTTTTTGTGAGTACATATGTCTTCATTTCTCCTAGGCATATACCTAGGAGTGGAATTGCTGGGTCATAGAGTAATCTATGTTTAACCTTTTGAGGAACTACCAGACTGTTTTCTAAAACACCTGTACCTGGTGTACCTTTTCTGAGAGTTCCAGTTTCCCCACACCCTCACCAGCACTTGTCATACCTTTTTGATTATAGCTGTCCTAGTGACTAGGACGTCAGTGGCAGTATCTCATTGCAATTTGATCGACATTTCTCTGATGACAAATGATCTTGAGCATGTTTTCATGTGCTTATTGGCCATATGTGTATCTCCTTTTGAGAACTGTCTCTCAGAACCTTTGCCCAGCTTTTAATTGGGTTATTTGTATTTTTATTACTGAGTTGTAATAGCTCTTTATGTATCTAGATTCAATCCCTCTCCTGAGTGGTTGAATATGTTTAAAATTCTCTCACTTGAAAAACATCCCCGTTTGGCTTCTTAAGTTATTGTTTGCATGTTCATTCCACCAAGTCATTGTTGAGCACCTGCTATATAGTAGTTCTTGTGCTGGAAGCTGTGGATAAAGTATGACCCATAAATGCAGAGTCCCAGAACCATGGAACTTATAGGCCAGAGCAGAAGATAAAGAACAAGTCATTGCATAGGTATTTAATGAAATGGTACTAATGTTCTCGCAGGAGAATTAGCGGGCTGTGAGTATATAACAGGGAGACCTGTTCTTGGAAATCAAGGCCCGTTCTCTTGAGGAAGGCACTTTGAGCTGAGTCCTAATGAATGTACTGGGACTAAGTGGGATTGGTAGGGGTGGGCAAGAAAGAGTGTCATAGGCAGAGGGGACAGCGTATGCCAAGGCCCTGACGTGGAAGGAACATAGCGTTTTGAGGGACTGATAGAAAGTGAGTGTGTGGCCATAGGGGAAATGGGGAGAAGGGCAGTGACTCAGGCTGTGGGTCATGCACAACATGTAAACTATGGGAAGACTTTGACTTTTGTCATGAGAGAACTGGGAAGCAATTAAAATAGTTTTAAGCAGAGGAGATGAATGGTAGGTTTGCCTTTTCTGCTGCAGTATGGAGAGCGGATTAGAACGGGCAAGAGTGAATGTTGGGGACCACTCATGTGTCTGGCCGTGGCCTAGTGGAAGCTAACAGGACTTGCAGTTGGGTGGTGGCAGTGGAGGATGAGAGGAGTCGAAAGAATTCAGAGACAACTTGGGAGCTGGAATTAATGGAGCCTGGTGAGTGACAGAAGCATGTGACTAATATAAAGGGAAGTTTTAAAAGGACTCCCAGGTTTCTGGGTTGTGCAGGAAGTGGGTGGTGGTGTGATTCACCGAGACAGATTGTTGAAGTCGTGTAGCTTTGGGGACATGGGGTGCTAGAACTAAAGAATTGAGTTTTCAGTTGACTTTGGAGTCCCTGTGAGCCATTGAAAATGAAGATGCCTAGGCCTGGCAGGTCAGGAGCTCCGAGCGTGGGAAGTATGTACTGGATTAGAGACCCAGTAGCCGTGGAAAACTTTAGTAAGGGGTGGGTCTGGTGGACTAGCAGGGATGGAAGGCAGATTGGGTCAGGGTGAGAGGAATGGGTGGGAAATTAGGAACTAGGTAAGGAGCAAGAAAGTGTTTCCCAAAAGATTGTGTTGGGAAGAGGACTGCCATATACTGAGCATCTAGAATGTCCAGAGACAGTGAGTGGGCCAGGACCAAGAGGGTGTCATGGAGGAAAAGTTTGAGACTTGCCAATCAGAAGAGAGACTTGCCAAGACAGAAACTCTGGAGATGGGGAGGCAAACATAGATGCCATTACGGGAACCAGAAGCCTGGACAGCGGTTTGAATTCTGTTTTATAAGACTGGCGCGAGAATGCGACTATGGGACCAGAGGAAGTATACTCATTGTTGCATTTGTGTGTGTTTTCAGGATGCTAAGAAGTCCCGTTTGCCCATCCTAATAAAACCATCACGGTCAGTAGGAAGTGTCTGTCAGCTCCCTGCCACGCCGGAGCTGGTGGCCCAGCTGCAGGGCCAGATCTTGGAGCTGCAGGGGGAGCTGAAGGAGTTTAAAGCTCGCAATAAGCAACTTCACCAAAAGTTAATTCTGGCTGAAGCCATGATGGAGGGGAGGCCAGTGCCAGACAAAACGCTACTGAAAGGTAAGCACCTAGAAAAATGTATTCCCCGTGAGCTAGATGAACGACCTGATAGAACTGCTTGAAATGTCAACCCTGTTGTTTAGAATTACAATAAGTTTGAGTATAAATTTCATGAATTGCAGTGATTAATCTTGACTCTTGACAAATACACAATCGAGGAAACTCAATAAGGAAAAGGAATCTATTGTTTTTATTTTATTCTGGCGTTGGGATAAAGGGGACTTGTAGTGCTCGCGGGTCTTGTGAGGTCACTGCTCCCTTACTTTGGGATTGTCTTCGGGTGCCCCAGTTGTGGGATGACTGGAATCCGGGCTTTGTTCTGGCTTGGCCTGTGGAGGCCTCGGGCATGTGGCATCGAGTATGTAAGTGAGAGTCCTCTTTGCAGGGTTCTGTGAAATGTCCAGGCCTAGTTCCAAACCCTGCTGGCTTATGTCTTCCTCTGGACGGGACCTGCCTCCCGACGCACCTTGAATCCGCTGTTATGTTCTCCCGGGAGCTCCCAACATAGAGAGCCCCTGGGACAAAATGTATCGAGGTTAGACTCCATAGACTTGGAGGGAGCCCCTCAGGTCTGGGACAGTGGTGCTTAGCGATTTGGGACCACTGCCCCTTTGAGAATCATTTTCAGAGGGTTCCTGAATCCACAAAAGTACTTAATGCTGATTTCTGATTTTGAACTTCTGCTATAAGCAAATGACAGCAACACACAATAACAAGAACAACAATAGCAACCTTTTCCTTATCTATTCTTTATCTATCCACAAAGTATTTATTAAATCCTTCTGTGTGCCGAGCACTGTTGTGGTCACTGGGGAGACAAGAGTGAATAAAACAGATGAAGTCCATGTCCAGCTTACATCCTTGTAGTGGGAGAAAGACAGTAAGCCGATCAGCAGGTATGTGATATGTGAGAAGATGATAAGTGCTGTAGAGTAAAATGAAGCAGGGTCCAGGGCATAGGTAACGTGGAATGGGAGTAGGTTTGCTAACGTCCATGGAATGTTTGAGAGCATCCTGAGGAGGAGACATTTAAATGGGGGCTGGGAGGAAACGAGTGGACGAGTGATCTTGGGAAGTGCCTTCCTGGCAGATGGAACAAGGGCAAAGGCCCTGAGGTTGCTTTGAACTTGAGATGAACAGGAAGGAGGCCAATTATATGGCTGGAGTGGAGTGAAAAAGGAGAGAGAAAGAGGTCAGGGAGGCAGCAGGTCGAGGAGGCCTCGCAGGCTCTGTCTTTGACTCTAGGTAGGACTGGAAACGGTTGGAGGGTTTTGGGCAGCCCAGTGACATGATCTGACTTAAGCTTTAAAGCGGGGTTCAGTAAACTACAGCCTGTGGGCCACGCCTGCTGGCTGTATTTGTAACACTTCGTTGGAACCTAGCCACACTCACTCATTTGCATATTGTATGTGATTGCCTTTGCATGATGATGGCAGTTGATTAACTGTGGTAGAGGCCCTGTGGTTCACAAAGTCTGAAATATTTATTATTTGGCTTTTTAAAAAAAGTGGCGTGTTGGTTAGGAGCTGGCTTGGGACACCAGCTCTGAGCAGCAGGGCCCAGGTTCAGATCCCACATGAGAGCCAGTGATGCTGCGCCCTCTACTGCTAAGATGCTGAACAACAGCTCAACCTGGAGCTGGGCTGCCGTGAGTCGCCAGCGACAGCATAGGCTGCAGCGGGGCTGCAGTGGGCTGCCATGAGCTACTGTGAGTGGTCGGCAGCCAGCGTGGGCGGCCGTGAGTTGCAGTGAGTGGTTGTCTGGGGGCAGCGGCCCATCTGCCTCAGCTGGGAAGAGTGCAATGATGATAATACAACATGGGCCAGTGAAGCGACGTCCTCCACAACTAGACTGAAGAACAAAAGGACAGCAAGTTATCTGTTCCCCTTCCCCGATTCCCCAACACTGTTCCCATCCCCCCAATTCCCCAATGAAATCTTTGAAAAAAATAAAAAAAGTAGTCCGACCTCTGCTTTAAAGAATCGCTTTTAATGTGAACCGTTGGAAGGATGGGGAGGCAGGCATTTTGTGAGGTGGCTGCTGACCACCCCAGGGGAGATGTCAGCTGGGCGGTTGGAGATAGATGTGTCTGGAGATGGGGAGAGGTCTGGGCGAGAGCTAGCAACACATCCCTGGTATTTGAAGCTGTAAGACTTGGAGACACAGGGAGCAGGGCCCGGAACAGGGGCCGGGGCTCTGGTCAGCAGGGGTGGGACTGAGAAGGAGCAGCCAGTGAGGTGGGGCGGGGGCCTGAAGCCGCGTGAGGAAAGCCGGTTAGCGGTGCCGAACGTTGCCAATAAGACAGGTAGGACGAGGACCGAGGGTTGGCCTTGAGACTGGGCAGCGGGGAGGCCTTGGTGACTGAAGGGCTCTGTGTCTGTGAGTGGTGGGGCCTGACTGGCGTGGGTTCCGGAGAGAGGGGAGGAGCGCAGTTGGAGATGGCAAGAACAGACAGCTCTGAGTTTCGCTGTAAAGCGGTGCAAAGCTTTACTTCACTGAGAAGCAGGGCGATTAGCAGCCATGTTGTCCATGAATCTCAAGAGATGCGAGGAATCAGGTGACCGTGGATGAGTGCAGTCAGGTGGGGTAGGTGGTGGCCTAGGCTGACAGCAGAGCCGCACAGCCAGAGTGTTTAGGGAAGAGAGAGAACAGTCTGCAAGGGTCAGGGGTGAGCAAAGGTCCACTTACACACGTCCAGGTCCATGATACAGGGGTGTGGGACGGCAACACCCACTGCTAGGGAGGCTTGTCGGGGGGCAGCCCGGGTTCCCTTAGAACGAGGGGCTGAGATGGATGTGCCGGAGGAAATTGAGGTCAGTTGGGATTTCTGCCCATGAAAGGTTTGCATACCAGGGTGGGGAGATTGTATTGTTTAGGGATTTTCAAAGTGGCTCAGGGATGGGAGATGACTGGGACCCTTGGACTTCCTGGGACAGTAAAAACCTAGCTCCCGCTGTTCATGCAGCCCCACTGTCCATTTTAAATACACGATCTAATTGAATCCTCTTCACAGTCCTTTGAGGCGGGTACAGTAATTAGTCCTGTTTTATTGTTGAGGCAGCAGTTTTAGAGGTAAAGTGACGTGACTACAGTCACACTGTCACTAACTTCCCTAGCTGGGTTTGAACCCGCCTGCCTGATTTCAAAGCCTGCGCCCTTTACTGTTTCATGAAGCTAGTACATGATACAACACTTCACCTGTGGGTTTTATGAGGATTGATAGCCAGAGGTATTTTCCATGTAATTTTAGGTTTTTTCTTGGGTTTGTCGTAGTTGAGGTTGCAAGATAAACTGGCCTTTGGCGGGATTGCTCTTCTCTCTCTCCGTCCTTTCCTGCCTACTCTTAATTCATCCACCCACCTACCCATCCAGGCCCCAGCCTCATGCACTCGGTGTGGGGGGAGAGAGGAATGGGAGACAGCCTCTGCCTTCTGAGAACCTCCTGGCTGGTGGGAGAGGGGGCAGCAGATAATTAAACAGATCAGTCTGAGGCAGGAGGTGGGGGCACTTCAAAGAGGAAAGACTTTATGGTGACTCAGCCCCACAGAGGCCCCGGCACTTTGCCCAGGGCTTGCCGTTTGACTTAAAATGTTTTTGTTCTATTTTATTTTTTTGCTGAGACCCCAGGGTGCCCTGCCAGGTGCTACTTCTGCAGTTGCCCAGAAGACCCTGGGGCGTCTCTCTTCTTGGGAAAGGTGGTGATGAGTCTATAGAATTCATTTTCTCACTCACAGTTTTTTGAGAGCCTGGACTTAAACCATTTCAGACAAGCTACAGTATATTTATGCTTTTTATGTCCTGTTATGGCAGCTCGATAGATTAATTTTATCTTATAAATTGCATTTTGCCTCCCCAGTGTTTTTATTTCCCTTTTGTATCTTTGTGTTCTTCTCAGTTGCTTGGCTAAGTTTCAAGTCTATGGTTTTATTTATTTTTTGTTCTCTTTGTGAATGCCTGTAGCCCAGCCCCTTGTGGGAGCAACCTACCAGGACAGACCTGGAGAGCAAAAAAAAAAAAAAAAAAAATTGAAACTACTCCCTGTGTCTGGAGAAACGAGGAAAGGAGCCGTGATCAGCAAACCAGTTCCAAGACTGGGCAGAATTCAACGCCTATGTATAGCGAGCAGCTACGTGTGCCAGGCACCATTTGGGGTGTTTTGTAGAAAAATTATTACTAAGCCCTGCAACAACCATCTTACGGCATCATCATTATTACCATTCAACACATGAGGAAGCGGAGGGTCTTGGAAAGAACTGATCCAGGGTCACCCAGCTGGTGAGGGAGGTGGACAAGTCAAGGCACCAGTGCTTACATTTTCTTCTTTCACCTTAGATCTTTTTTCTCTTCATAAAAAAAAATCACCATTAATCTGGACCTCATAGACTCTGTAAGAAATAGTTGTCTTCAGGAATCCTAAATCTGCCATGCGGCGGCCGTGACAGCCTCTGGGGAAACACTGAGAACGATGGCCTGGTTGCCGGTGGCGAAAGCGTGGTCACGTGCTCCTGAGTGCTCTGCGCTTTGAGGAGAAAGCCGCCCCACCAGGTTATACAGTGTCCCTTAGCTGAACTGTAGAAAGTTCCAGAATTATAGTTATTTCCCATAATGCAAATAAGTGGTCCTGAGGCATCTTTTAATTTCTTGTTCATGGTTGACTGCTGAAGGCCTCTTGACTGTTTCTCTTTTCCTCTCAAATCTCTACATTAGTGACTTCTTTCCTTTTTCTAACTTGTTTCTAGAGCTTGGCACACACTGTGTGGCCTCTGCCTGAACTTCCCCTTTAGTGGTTGCCTAGCTGATGCCGCATCCTTTAAAGCCTCTGCTTCAATGTCACTTTCCAGGCAAGGCCTTCCTGCACCCCCCAATTATATAGATACCCCCATTTAGCCCCCCATGATTTGGTCTTAAAACGACTCCTCAGTGACTGCCCTTTGCAAGGCTGGGTACAGTGTGACGCCCCTTGATGTAGATACTTGGGAGGTGAATGAAGTGGATGCCACAGACATGATTGGCCCTCACATTGAGGGTTGAGGGATGTCTCCCTTGCTTCTGCAGCCCTGATACGGGAGACCTGGCTGCAGGAAGGGTCCATCAGGAGGTAGCAGTCAGAGTGTTGGAGGCATGCTACAGGCTCGGGGCGGCGGGGGTCTGCTGCCTCCTCGCTGAACCTTGGGCAAGGCCGCATCTCTCCTTCTGTAAAATGGGGATCCTGGTGACGCCCCCCGGGGTTGTGATGAAGATTGAGTGACAGCACAGGTGAGGAGCTTGGTGCCTTGGCCAGGTCCTGGCACGCCGTTTTGTGTCCTCGGCCTTGCTGAACACACAGGTTCATGCCGTACACCGCAGCTCACAATCCTCCTTCCCCCCGCCCTCCATGCGCGGTTTTCAGATGAAAAGTGGGAGCAGCTCCCTTGGCCTTTCATCGAGGGCTGCGGAGCTGAGAACAGCAGCCACACTGCCGTGTTAACGCCGGGCTTGCTGTCTCCCGGCCTTGGAGCCTGGAAATCACATTCTTACCTCTGCTAAATATGGGGGCACTTCTGAAGTGAAAATTGTGTGTCACGTGTCTGAATATTAGATGTGTTGTGTTGTAGGGAGCAAAGTATAAAGCAGAGTGACGATGAGACTGCACACCCAACCATTCTGAGGGGTGTGTGTGCACGTGTGTGTGTGTGTGTGTGTGTGTGTGTGTGTGTGTGTGTGTGTGTGTAATCAGAGCTGGCCACAGTCTGTATCACACAGGGACATTTGTGTAGGTCTTACATTTGTCTTTGCCTCATGATCACTTAACAGTTATCAGAACTGATCTTTATTCTCACTTGGGAATATAACTTCTTGCCATGAAATTCCATCACTGTGCAGTCGTTACAGCAAAGCTGTTTCCTTGTCGTGGAGGGTGATTCCCTGGGAAAAAGCCTTGTTGAGATCTCTCCCTCTGGCTCTCTGTTACATCAGTCAGCCAGCGGTACTTAACTGAGTGCCTTCTCTGCCCCAGGCCCTGAGCCAGACACTGGAGACACAGAGATGGATGACATGGTCTCCCTGAAGGACCTCAGAGACGAGTGATTATAATGGAATTTGTACAGTAAAAGTGCTGTGTTAGGAATGCTTCCTTGAGGTCACGTAGCAGCTGCTTTCTAAAATAAAAAGGTTTACTTTATGGTATGTGCGTCGTGAGCAGAGGGACAAGAATGGGCTTAAAGTCAGGAGGAGCCGTTGCAGAACCTAGAAATTGGAATATACAGACTGACAAAGACTCTCGTGTGCTTTCCTTTCTGAGAGATCTAGGTCCTCTCATCCAGTCCGCATTGCTGCTTTTGCAGCATTTCCCAGACCCAAAGCCTTTGCGCCATCGTCTCCTGTAGGCATCCTCTGCCATCTTTGAACAGTTTTAGAGGATGTTAACATTAGTTGCCTTCCTTCACTGCTAGGTACCAGACACTTAGTCTTTTTGCAGATATTGTCCCATTTGATCTTAAAAATAAAACACAACCCATCACAATGACTGATGTTTTCTCCATTTTGCAGATGAAGCTACTGAGGCTTGTAGAGTTTGAGGAACTTACCTGAGGTCATGTAACTAAATGACCTGCAAGTAAATGGCAGAGCCAGAGTTTGAAACCAGGTCTCTTGGTTTTCAAAGATGGGTTTTTCTACTAAATTTTGCTGCCTCTTAAGTATTCAAACCATTCTTTATACTGAGCCGAGCTTTCCCTGAACAGCAGGCAGCGGGGTCCGTGGTGAAGGACGGAAGCTCTGGACTCGACTGAGCTTGAAGCCTCACAGCAAGTTATTAGGCATCTCTGGGGAAACTGAGGCCCTGGGATCGCAAGTGACTTGCCTAAGGCTGTGCAGCCAGCAAGTGGCATTGCTAGGTGTGACCCCACTTCTCTTTGGCTTCAAAGCTATATATTCTTTGTGTAGTAGCACCCCACCTCTCCAACACGTTGTCCGCATCTCTGGGGGTTTAAACTTGCTGTAAGGAAATGTTTCCTGGCAGGGTTGGGAGTCATTACAGCAGCTCACTGCAGGGGACATCATGGCAGCTCTGGGAAACTGACAGCCATGGAAACGAGCAGACTCGCATACGTCGTGGATTTTAGAATCACTGCTCTGTAACGTTACTTCCCTCGGTACCCAACATTTGTCAGACCTTCACTGACTCCTGCTCTGGCTAGGGACTCATGCTGGGCACTGAGCATGTGAAGATAAAAGGCCAGCGAGGGAGAGAAGAATCCAAATAACTAAGTGCTAGGTAAATAAATAAATGAGCCAGTTGTAATTCCTACATTAGCACCCAGCATGTAGAACATTTGTCCCAGGTGATATGTATAAGGTGCTGTGGAAGCCCAGAGGGGAGTGACTGTTTCTTATAGTTTGGAGATGGATTTGCAGAAGAGGGAAATTAGATCTGGGTGTTGAAGGACGAGTAGGAGTTCACTGAGCAAAAGTAGAGGGAAATGTGCATGTAGAAGCATGGGGGCATGAACCCACCTGGTGTGTGGAGGGGATGGTGGTAAGTAGGGAATCCCCATAGGCGGTGCCAGGGGATATTCCTAAAAGTTGCCCAGAACTAGATCTTGGAGGGTCTCATATGCTGTGAGGGGGAGTTTGGATTTGATCTTCAAGATAATGGGATATTGATCAGTTTTAGGTGGCAGGAGGGTGGTTACCATGGTTAAATTCATTTTTTAGAGCAGTCGCTCTGAGGAAGAGGATGCATTGAGAGGTAAGAGGAAGAAGACTAGAACCAGGGAGGCTTGTGGTCTCGGCTTGGCAATGGCTATGAGGACGGATGGGGTGGTTTTCAGCCAAGGAGATGCTGACATAAGTGTGTTTGATTTTCAGACTCTGAAATTTTCCAGCCCAACGACTGTGCCATCGTGTCAACATGCAAAGAGAATCCTGAAGATTTTCAAGGCCCAATTTCAGCAGCTACTTACCTGAGTTCTGAGGGTCAACTTTCCACTAAAGGCAGTGTGATTGGAACCGATCGGCCTGAGAACAATGATACCTCAAACGATACAGAAAACTTACAACAGAAAATCTGTGACTTGGAAACGGAGCTCGAGGGCTACCGGAATTTCATACTTCAGCTTCAAAAGCACTCCCAGTTCAGCGAGGCCATTATCACCGTTTTGTGTGGCACAGAAGGGGCCCAGGACACCTTGAAGAAGCCCAAGGGCACTGCTGATGAAGAAGAAATGACCTTTTCAAGTTTGCACCAGGTCCGTTTTGTGAAACACATGAAAATCCTCCACCCGCTGGCCCCAGAGATGATTGACGGCAGGATGCTGGAGAGCCTTGAACAGCAGCTGGTGGAACAGGACTGTGAGCTGCAGAAAGAACAGCATATGAACATGGAGCTTTTCAGTGAAGTCCATAACATGCAGAATAAGCTCAGAGATCTCTCGCCCTCAAGGTGTGTCCCAGCTCCGTCTTCTGTCTTCTCCAGCTGTTTAAGCCTGCAGTTCCCCTCTGTGGCCACTAGGTGGGAGCCCATGAGCTAAAGGGGAACTGCTGTGCTGTGGGGTGGGGTGTGTACCAAGGAAGGCATGATGGTGGGGTGGAGGCAGCCGGGCCCTGTGGAGGAGTGCAACATGAGGCCACAAAGAATGGTGGCTGCCCACGTACCAGTGTTGTACCCTCTGAAATTGGCAAGAAAGATTTTGCTGTGCTCAGATGAGGGGCCCAGGCACTCAGTGAGTTGTGGTCTGTTTGCTGAATGGCGGTGTTCACGCCTGAATCCCGTTGTGGGCTTTTACTGAGCTTTGGAGCTGAAACTGATGTGCTAGGCAGGGTGGGAAGAATATAAATATTTCTCGTATCTTTGCCCTTTAAGGTCATCTTAGAGAAATAAGCCTGTGTTGAAAGAGAAGAATTCTTAGGTCATGAAGATATGTTTTATGGGCATAGATAGATACCGTTTTTGCTTCATGAGATATGGCAAAAATGGGATCATTTATAAAGTCGACCTTCATTCGTCACTAATTTGACACAAACACATTGTTCTGAATTGTCAGGAGGAGCCAGAGTGAATTTTTCAAGACTTCCCAAACAGTGCGATTGAAGGAAGCTTGTATGTATTGAAAAGCAGCTGTGTCAGACCTTTAGTTAGACATTTTTCTTATTAAATCCTCAGAATCGCCAGAGAAGGAGATGTTATTAAACATGTTTCTGTAGGTGAGGAGATTGAGCCTCAAAGAGGTTGCCTTGAATTGCTTGAGAAGATTCGCAGAGCTGGTCAGGGCCCGTGCCCGGGTTCAAGCTCACATGACCCCACTCTGATCCCCTGGTTCTTTCTCATCCACGAAACTGGCTCCCACCTGCAGTACTGGCGTCACGTGATCAGTATGTGCATACTTGGGTGAGAGGTGGTCCCCGGCCCTATGCGCTGACATTTCAGGGAAGGGGGAACATGAACTGAGGGGTCAGCGTCTTTGCCAAGCCACTCTGGAGTCAGGTTACTGCGGCCCCAGTTTGTATGCGCCACATTTTCCTTAACTTGTGCCTTTCTCTCAGTGCCTCCTAAAACCTGTGGGCTCAATGTAGGGAACGACATTGGATATGGTGTCAGGAGGTACCATTGCTTAATAGAGCACGGGCTTTGAAGGCAGAGAGCTGTGTGTTAGTCCGAAATCTTCACCATTTAACTAACTGCCATCTCTGAGAGTCAGTTTCCTCTTCCGTAAAAGGGATGGTTCATACATTTGTTGGAAGATTGGGAGGATGCACTAACTTATAAAAAACACCTAATTCAGCGAGGGACAGATCATAGACCCTCCATGAGTGTGGTAGTTAGGATTCTGGTTATCCCCTGACCTTTCAGTCGAGAAGAGGGAGTCCTATCTTTGTTTTCCTGCCTCCAGTTTCTTTTTTTGTTCTTCGTGAGAATTTGTGGTGGGTCCCCTGACCCTTGGGCCCTTGTTTCTACAATTTGGAATAGGATTTTTGAAGAGTGTATGGAAACTGATTGTTCTCCTGAGTTCTTGCCAGTCTTACTTTAATTGGGGGCTTCATGAGGTTAAAAATATTGCAGAGGAACCTTTGCGCCAGCATTTGTTGGCTGTTTTGAAATCGAAGGAGGAGTGACCTTGTACGGCTTCAATTATTCTAAAAGTATATATACTTGTACAGCTGCAGGCTTTTAAAAATGGTGCTCCTGTCATTTTTCCAATTAGTGTTAAGGTCACAGAAATTCAATTCTAAAATGGTTCAAGCATTTCCTTTCCCCCCTTTTATCAGATACAATTCATTAGTTCAGTCCCAAGCCAGGGAGCTCTCCCTTCAGCGGCAGCAGATTAAGGAGAGCCACGGCGTCTGTGTCGTTTGTCGTCAACACATGAACACTGTGATGAAGGCGTTTGGGGAGCTGCTGCGGGCCAGCGACGTGGATTACTATGTGGCCGAGGGTTTCCGGGAGCAGCTGAATCAATGTGCCGGGCTGCTGGAGAAGCTGGAAAAGCTGTTTCTCAGCGGTAAGTGAGGCGAGGTCCTTCGGGTCCTGAGATACGTCGGTAATTGATCCAGGACTTCTCGGAGGCCCCGGAGGAACTGACTCCTTGGCCCTCCTTCCCTTGCGCTTTCTGCTCTGATGAGGTGACAGCAAGGCCACGCTGGCTGCTGCTCCCTTCCAGTGACCGCTTCCCTGGGGGTGGGGGTCTGCAGTGTTCCAAACCTGGGGTCCAGTGTGGATGCCTCAGGGACCAGGCTGGTGACGCACACACGTGAAAACAGCCAGGAAGCACCGCCCCTGGCACCCACCACGTGGTGGTCGGTTTCTCCACATTTTCAAAAGATGGAATTTTTTTGTTTGTTTTTTGTTTTTGGTAAAAACTCATGAGTTTTAGGGGCCGGCCGAGTGGCTCAGTTGGTTAAGAGCTCGCTCAAGAGTTTGAGCTCTGAGCAACAGCGGTTCGATGCCAGCCCGAGCTGAGCAGCCGCTAAGCTACCAATAGGTAGCAGGATGGCTCAGCTAAAAAAAAAAAACCAAAACTCATGAGTTTTAAATGTTGGCAACAACAAACAAAACAAACAAAAAAACCCCCAAAACTTTCATTGGTTAAAAAATATATTCAAGTGTCAGAGGTAGGTGGTCAGAGGAAGGATGAAAGAAAACATTTGCTAACCATTTGCTGTATGCTAGGACTTTAATATACATTATTGCATTAAAAACTTTTTTAGGGCTGGCCGAGTGGCTCAGTTGGTTAAGAGCTCGCTCAAGAGTTTGAGCTCTGAGCAACAGCGGTTTGATACCCGGCCCGAGCTGAGCTGCTGCTGAGCTGCCAATAGGTGGCAGGATGGCTCAGCTAAAAAAAAAAACAAAAAACTTTTTAAAAGATAATTTGCAACTTTTCAAGACTACAACAAAGAATTTCCATATACCCTTCATGCAGCTTTGTCAGTTGTTAGTATTTTGCCACATCTGCATGTGAGTTCCCTCTCTCTGTATAGACACACACATAGATACACACATTGTAATTATTATCTTTCCTAACACTATGAGAGTGGATTGATGATATCGTTCCCTTTCCCCATAGATACTTCACTGTATAGTTCCTCAGACCAAGGCTGCTCTCTTCTATAACCACACACAGTACAATGATCAAAATCACAAATCAGTATTTTCTAATAATGAGTATAGTCTACAGTCAAATTTCACTAATTGATTTAGTAGTGTTTTCTATGATCCCATAGGCAAACCACTGGTTTGAATTCTCCATAGAGTAGTCTTGTATACAGTATGAAAAAAATAATGTCTTTTGTGAGAGTTTTATTCTTGATCCTGATCCAGGACCCAGTCCCCACGTTACGTTTAGTTGTCACGTCTCTTGGTTTCCTTTAAGCTGGAGTAGTTCACCTTTTGTCTTTCATGACTTTGGCATATTTGAAGAGTTCAGGCCAGTCTCTCAATTTGGGATTACCTGCTGTTTCCTCACGATTAGATTCAATGAGTTATGTGGTTTTGGTAGGAGTTTTACATAAATGATGTTGTGTTCTCATGGTATCACATTAAGGAGGTACCTGATGTCAGTTTGTCCTATTTTTGGTGATATTAACTGATCACTTGGTTAAGATGATGTCTGTCAGGTTTCTCCATTGTAAATTATAATACTTCCCTGTGTCATGTAAAAGGAACTAATGGGGGATACTTTGTAACTAAATATTCCATTCCTCTTCAAACTTTGACCCTTGAGTTTTACCATCTATTGATGATTGTTGCCTTAGTCAGTTATTACTATGACGATGGCAACATGGTGCTTGTTTTCTAATGCTGCCATTCCTTCTTCATTTATTATAGATGGCATCTGCTATAAAGATAAATTCACCCTTTACCTCCTTTTATTTATGTATTTGCTTGTTTGTTTGTTCGTTTATTTTATTTATTTTTAAAAGATTTTATTGGGGAATTGGAGGAGGGGAACAACGTTGGGGAATAGGGGAAGGGGAACAGACAAGTTGCTGTCCTTTTGTTCTTTAGTCTAGTTGTGGAGGACGTCGCTTCACTGGCCCATGTTGGTATTGTGATCATTGTGCTTTTTCTGGCTGAGGCAGATCAATTATCAGCCCCTGGACGGCTGCTCACAGCAGCTCTTGGCAGCTCGCGCCGGCTACAAGTTGCTCACAGTAGTTTACGGCAGCCCACTGCAGCTCCACTGCAGCCTTTGCCGATGCCGGGGACTCATAGCAGCCCAGCTCCAGGTTGAGCTGTTGTTCAGCATCTTAGCTGTAGAGGGTGCAGCGTCACTGGCCCTCATATGTGGGATCTGAACCGGGGCCCTGCTGCTCAGAGCTGGTGTCCTAAGCCAACTCTTAAGCAACGTACCACTCGGCCCACCCTGCTTGTTTATTATTAATTTTGACTTGTGAAGTCTTCTTTTATTCAGTTGACTATTTATTATCCATTGTGTCTCATATTAACGCCCAAATTGCTCCAGAACCAGCAGGTAGCAGTTACTTTTGTCACGTCTGCATCTTTTTGTGGAGGTAAGGGTGGGGGTGGGGTGCACTTCCTTACTTTCTGGCACAAAGAAAGCTGTTTCAGGCTCCTCTTTTACTGTCCTTGCTCCTGAGTCAGTCATTTCTCTAAGTAGCCCTGGTATATTTTAAAGGGGAATGCTATTTAAAAACCAAGAGTTGGTGCTGGGTGTGTTAAGTGCTAGGGGGGTGTCGTTGTTTCTGGGCCCTTTGGCAGGCAGAGCTGGGATGCATGTTCATATATGACGTACACACACATATATACACACACACTATATATATATGTATGCACAAAAAAGTATGTATGTTTAAAAATGTCTAACATATTTTAAAAATCCCAGTGGTGCCCCCAATTTCTGTCCTAACCCACTGTGTTCTTTCTTGCTTTTCCCGCTTCTGTGTTTGCTCCCCTCTCCCAACAGTGAGAACCCTGGCTCTCACAGTATCACGTATCTGCTCATTTGCTTAATTCTATAACACACGGATAGTTCCAGAATTGCTCTGTCCACACCAGCGTGAAAAACAAACCTATAAGAGTTCAAGATTTGTTTACAGTTCTTTTCGTTTTTAGGCTAAGGGTAGTTAGTCAGTATTTGATTTAGTTATTTGGTTTCATTCTTTCTGCAGTCTTGTTATGTTATTCATTTGAAATACAATTAGGCTGGGTTTTTTCCCCCTGTATTATTCAATTTTAGGGTTCCTACATCCTTCTTGATTTAACTTAATTTTATTTTTTTTAATATGAAAAACATTAAAGTTGATTCCAAAGTTAGAACTTGTAACCTTTTAAATTGCTTCGATGAAGTCATTATTTTTTGTCCCTCTCTTTTATATCCATCAGTGTCTTTTTGGTCTCCCTTTGTCCCTTAAACCCACTGGAATTGGGCTTTCAGACATCCCAGCCTCTCCACTGAAATGGCATTTGCCAGAGTCACTACCGACGTTCACTTTGCTAAATCGAATCAGTTTTCAGACTGTACTGTCCTCAAACTCACAGCCATTTTGCTTGTGGGACTCCTGTCCTTCTTTGGCTTTTAAGAGAACACCGCTCCGAGCCAGTTCTCCTGCCCCCCCCCACAGTCCGCAGCCCCTCTGAAGCTCTCTCTTCAACGTGTGTTCCAAATCAGACCAATCGGCACTAGCTCATTGCTGCCACGGCTCCAATTTGCCATGTCACCTCACCTGGATTATTGAAGTCCCCTCCTCCATGGCCTTCACACTGCCACCCTTGCCCCACTACTGTCCCTTTTCACACAGTAGTCGTAATGCGCTTTTCAAAATGTAATCGGGTCATGTCCCATCTCTGCTCAAAATCAAAGGCATTCCTTGGTGAGGTGTAAGGGTTATATAAGGGATGTGACGCCATGGCTCAGCGCTCGGGCATGACTTTCAGTCCCGAGGGCTGGCTCGTACCTGTGTTTGTGCGTTGGGGGCTCAGTCCTCAGAACACCCTGTTTGTCGTGAGGAACTTAGCCTTCACCGGGGAAGGTCAGTTGCTCAAAGTCACAACCGACTTGGCGGGACCAGGATTTGACCTTAGTTCTTCTCTCTTCATATATACAGTACAGATGGTTCATGAGGGTCCACATATGTTCAATTTAATTCCAAGAGAGAACGTGAGATAGTTTGGCCTCTGCGCTCAGGGAATGTGTTTTTCCTGAGTTTTTTAAAGAGCCCCACAGCTAGATCCACTGCAGACCCATTTTCCTAGTGCCAAGTCCACAAGACCTTTGAGGGCCAGGAGGCAGAAGCACTTGACTTTTCCCAGCTTTATGAAATTGCTTTCTTCTAGCTCAGGTTTTCCAAAAAAGCTAGTTTTTGTTTTATTATTGGAGAAATAACCAAGTCCTCAAGATAGAGCCGTATCTTCCAGGCCCTAGGCGTCTTCCATCTGTCTCTTTTCTTCCTACAAGTCCTCAACCTGGGCCCTAGGAAGTGGGGGTGCTGAGAGCACGTGCCTCTGGCCCTGGCTGTCCTCCCTCCCTCCCTCGTTCAGCCATCCCCCCACTTGATTTATATTTTAGTTATTTACCTTGATAAGCCCAAGGAGATCTCACTTTTTGTTTTCTGAAAGCAGCGGTGTTTTAGGCTTGGCAGACAACGTAAACACAGAACTTGATTTTCTTCTACGAAAAGCATAGAGGTCTGAGGGACCTCGCTGCAGCTCCTTTTCTTGGAGAATAAAATGTAACAGAGGTGGGTCTTGGATGCTATCTAAGGGGTCTGGCTCCTGAATTCTGAAGTGAGCTGATCACAGCGTAGTTTTTTATATTTGAAGCAATAGCATAGCATGAGTTCTTAAAACATTTAAATGTAGTATTTTTGTATTAATACCAAGCAGTACATGTTTGTTGTGGAATAACAGATAAGCAGAGACTCCTATAATTGCATCATTTATACAGCAAAACATGAACACCCTGGAGTTTATATTTCCAGACCTTTTAATACATATTTGTGTTATTTTGTGGCAGTAGAACTGTTTGCAATCTCTCCCTTTGTT